CAGGACGGCCGCCAGGCACTCAGCGGGCCTCGCCGCCCACATTCCTGCGCAGCCATGTCGGTGCTGGAAGACGGCCGGCCATTCGCCCAGCAGCTGTCCAATGTCTACTTCACCATCCTCTCCCTGTTCTGCTTCAAGCTGTTTGTGAAAATCAGCCTGGCCATCCTCAGCCACTTCTACATCGTCAAAGGCAACCGCGAGGAGGCGGCGCGCATCGCGGCCGAGTTCTACGGCGCGGCCCCGGGACAAGGTACGTGGCGCCCGCTCTCTGGTGTCATTTGTTTCACTCTCGGTCCTCCCACCATCCACCCAGTAGGTCTGGTTTGTCTGACGGGGGCTTCAGAGGGGGTCTCTTATAAACTTCTTTTTTTTTTAATTTCTTGATTGATTAAGGTGTTACATATGTGTCCTTATGCCCCCATTGCCCCCGCACTCCCCCCACTCACGCCCTCACCCCCCTGGTGTCTGTGTCCATTGGTTAGGCTATATGCATGCGTACTAGTCCTTTGGTGGATCTCTCCCTCTTCCCCCACCCTCCCCTACCTTCCCTCTGAGGTTTGACGGTCTGATCCATGCTTCTCTGTCTCTGGATCTTATAAACTTCTCGTTGTGGAAAATGTTTGCTAACTCCATGGTTTCATACAAAAGAAAAAAAAGTACTTTGCTGTGGAAATGTCTAAGTTAGTAAAAGGCAGGCATCTATGCAAACTAGATGAATGGGAACACACTTTTAACTATACCTTGTTCTGGCAGGTGTGGCTGGGTTGATGACACCAACTACCTATACACTGTTCTGTGAATAAATATCTTAAAATTTAAACACTTCATTTGCCATAGTTGTACAGGCTTCGATCACTGATCCCACTTCTATGGTCCGTTAACATATAGCCAAAGTTTTGTCATTTTTAATTCAAGTCTTTAGGCATATGGGAAAGCATTTATTTAAAAGAGAAGATTTGGAGATCTGATGTGTTTGTCACCGCTGTTGTTTTACCAAGATTAACCACTTGATTATAGAATAAAGCGAAACGTATCAAATAAGATTTACGGCATGTGCTTTCCTGGTGGCTTGTTGTTGCTTTGCTCCATTTGTAAGAAATGGATGGTAAGAGGATAGAAAGATGAATTAACAAGTGTATATGTGTGCAGCCAAGAACATCCGCCCATGCTTCCCAGAGGAAATTGAAGTATGATGCCAAATGAGAAACGATGATTTGAATCATAGACTTTAAAGGTTGTAAAACCATTTCTGTTCTATCAGTCTGATACTCTGTACAATCACAGTCCTTGTGGTGGGTTTCAAGGTGACACTTTTAGTTCCGATGGTCTTTTGGTTAATTTCAGGTGTGAAAATGGGCAGGCAAAGCACAGACATTTTAGATCCCCAAATATCTCAAACGTAACTTAAATGTTCAGAATCTAAATATCCTACCACGTAATTATAGAATGCAATTTTTTTCAAAGCACTTAGAGTGGAAAACTTGACCTCTTAAAAATCTGATTTCTTCCATTTTTCAATTTGTGAAAATAATTCATTTTAAACGTAGGTTACCCTGTGTGTACATGGAAAGCTGAGTAAAGGCCGGAAATCTTTTTTTGGTGTATGAGGTAGATCATGAGTATATTTTTCCCATAAAGGGTTTTCTTATGCGAAGCGAGGACTTGATGAACTCATGGAAAGTGGGGGAATCTAACTGCCAGTGTGCACCTGCCAGGAGGAAGGCGGGCCCCGGAGGAAAGAGGCAGTTTTTTCCCCCCCCCCCCCCCCCCCCCAGCCTGCTTCGGAGCAGGTGTAGCAACGGGAATGTGGCAGCGTTTCACTGGCAGACCGAATATCTTGTTTAAAAACATCAAACATTGAAAACTAGATTTTAAAACAAAACCACATTTCCAGATACCAGACTAAATAGATTATATGATTGTAGGTCCCAGCGTTTACCCTGTCGGGCAGCCTACAGCTCATTCTCACCGGCAGCCTACAGCTCATTACCATGCTTCATGGTCAAATCAGGTCTACGGATTATGAGAATTGCCCTATGTAAAGACCGAAAATATGGGCCAAAACGCTATAATTTTGTGTGTGTGTGAACTGACAAGGGTTTTAGAGGCAGCTGTGGAAGCTCATTTTTTGCACATATTTTGGTGCAAATAAAAAGCAACAATCGGCCTCTCTTCAGCCTGGGCTCAGTGTGATGAAGCCGCTGTGGCAGGCATATACGAAATGGCTCCCTGCTTTTTACGAGTCTGTGTTAAGATATCTGAGAACTCTAGGATTATTTCCCAAAAAAGGGAAGAAGGAAGTTAACACTCACTAATAGAAAACCCTTTTCCTAGGAATATAAAGTTGTTTACAATTTCTGTTTTGTGTTGTTTTGAGTGGTGGAGCTCTTTAGCAAAATTCTGCCTTCTAATATCTTGCATTAATCTATATGTTAAGTAATGGAATATATTATGATCATTTTATTCAGTGTAAGCATAATTAGTCTCCTTTAAAAGAAATTTTTTTGTATTAGATTATCAGATACCTTGCAAACACTTTATTGATCTCCTATGTCTAAGAATTCATTCTTTCTTACCCAGAAAATTATTATTTTCTTCATTTTAATGTAGCTTGTTCTTTTCTTTACTATAAATAACTATTTTTATATTGATTATATTTTATAATGAACTAATCAGGCTCAATTATCTTTGTTTAATCTGGCAATTTCCTCCTTCCTCGGAGAGATTATCACCTTTACTCCACTTTGAGTTAGGTTTCTCTTTCCTCCTTTCAAGACTTAGCCAGATGGCTCCCCAACATTTCTGATGTGGGGGTGCCAAATTCCGTGAAACAGGAGCTCGTGTGTGTGTTTTCATGTCCTTCTTAATCAGAGAAGACCCTGCTGACAGCCCTTGGATGTCCTCCCGTGAGCAGTGTGCTTGGTAGGAAATGAAAGAACCGTGTCTTAGAAACTCCCGCAAATCAGCCTCTTGTACCCACAGATGCCAGGTGGTCTTAAAGCACTTTCCCAACAGGCTTGAGACCAAGGGATGAGTACACAGCAAGAATGCAGCACAGCTAAATGGTAGCTAAGTAGCTTAAGGTTATTTCCTTCTTGACCCCTTTGTTATTCCAATAAAACAAAAATCCACCTTTTCGTTTTCTGTACCGATGACTTTTATGAACGCCACCATCAAGTAGAAGGGACCCCCTTGTCACACTTTGTTATGTTTCTACCGCCTGTATCGTTCCTGCTGTTTAGGGTCCTGGTGACAATCTCTATGTACCAAAGGTCTAGTCCATTTTTAAAGCTAGCCCTGGACTTGGAGACTGACTGTGAGGCTAACATAGTTGAAAGGTGTTTTCAACTGTGCTGTCAAATGGTACAGAGAGCAAATGAGGCTGTGGGGAGTACACGGGTTTTCTAAAATCACTTCAAGGTCCCAGAAGAAGCCATGAGCTGTAATATTCCAGGGACACCGAGGGAGTAGCTGCCTCCTCTTTTCAGTTAAGGGCAATATTTTCAAGTTCTATCTTAAGCTCTGAAGGAAGTTCAGTAGTAGCTTTACCCACAAGTGGACAGGTCCGTTCTAAGCACTAGTTTTTTGAGCACCCCTGATAGCAAGGAACTGAAGAAACAGAATATAACAAAGACGAAAGGTACCGTTCCCAACTGTAGGCTTTTTATTCTAATTGAGGAGCTAGTGTATCCGCATATAATAATGAGTTTCCAGATAGACTTATACCAAAGGGACCTGATGAATGGGAAGATGAGTCTCAAATGTGGACTTGCAGAGGTATGCATGGTGAGGCAGATCTTGAGTTGACCCGAGGAAGGAGTAGAAGCATGGATTTAAGCTTAGACTATTAAGAGACAACAGATTTGACTGCAGTAGAAGGTTTATGAAGCAGAAAAAGATGTTAATAAATTGGGCACAGATATGAAAGAATCTGAACAGCAGGCTAAGCAATTTGAACTTTGAAAGCAATAGGAGTCATTAAGAGTTCCTGGCAGAGTGAGTGTGTGTGTGTGTGTGTGGGGGGGGGAGGGTGAATGGGAAAACACGTGCATAAAATCCTAGTTTAAGATAGACTTATATATTCATGGTCTTTGGAGTTGGGCAATGGGACAGGCTTGGATAGGTAGCTGAGGCGCTCCCTGCCATAAAGAGGTGAGACCGAGGCTTGTTTGTTGGTGCTGGCGTGGATAGAAAAGAAAGAATGACAAGAAATATAAATGAAAAAAAGAAAAGAAGAATGGATGAACCTGATGATTCCTTTCAATAGCATTGGCAGAGAGAGCAAATGTTACCTTAGGGAACTGACTGTCTCCCAGAATTCGATTTAGCATAGCTAGAGAAAAATATGTCAGTCACAAGGATTCGTTGGTACACAGGCAGATCTGTGGTTTCCAGCCACCCCAGAGAGGTGGGGCCTTAGCTGCTTAGTCACCTCCTCTCTGGTGTGAAACATCAGGGTAAATCAACTAGAATCTGAATTCTGTTCTTGCATTTTATTTATTTACTGTGTCCCCTTTGTCCCCCCTTTTCAACAGCAAGCACCTCTGATTATCACTTGACTCTCCCTCCAGACGTGTCCACAGAAAGAGAATGTGCTGGTTTGACCCAGCACCGCATTGGTCCATCCGACACTAATGGTCCTTGTTGTAAATTCATGTACTTGAGTCTTGATGTCGGTCCATAGGGTTTGTGCTCTGTGAGTTGTAAGCACACCCCTGAGATGTGAATTTGCTCCAGCTTTGCTGCCAGATCAGGTTTCCAAGCCTGTGAAGCCGTGGGCACATCCTAGACTGTGGAAAACTCATCAAGGCACTCTCTCCGGGAGGCTGCTTGAAAGACAGTCCCGTGACTCCCAACCTCTTCGGCCCTCTTCATCGCTGAGACTTTCCATAGAATACAGGAGAGATGGAGCATCATCTCATGCGATATTCGTGTTTGTAATTTGATAAATTTGGATTTAGGGTTGCCATTAAGCGTGCAGTTTTTTTTCTTGAGCTGTCTATTGTTGACACTTGGAAATAGGCTACTGTGCAAGCCTCTCACCACAAGTCAAAGTCCATGTCATTTAGAGAATAGTGTGAACTGGGTGGGAAAGCAGCTAGAATTTTATATAATGTCATGTCATTTTTTCTCCATCAGTAACGTCCATCCCAGGTCTGAAAGCTACGTCAGGAATTTAATTTTGCAGCAGATTCCGGCAACGGCACACAGTGGTATTTATCACGCCTGCTTCTAAGGAACACCATCAGG